GGTGAGACGCGCGGAGGGCGCGGGTGGTCCCAGCCTGGCCCGGCGCCCGCCCGCCCGCCGCAGACCCCGCTCTGGGACAGCCCTGCACCTGGACCCAGCGTGCAGGTGAAAGCAACTCGGGAAGACCGGGCCAGGCTTCCCCAATGTCCCTCACGGGCCACTAGCGCGGGGCTTCACCTGGCCCAGGGCACGGTGAGGGCCCGCCCGTGGGGCGTGGCCACAGGTGCAGCCCCACCTAGAATCCGCCCCGGAGGGCTGGGGGCGTGGCTGGGTAGAGCACCGCCCACCACGCTGAGCCTGCCTTCCATCTGTTAACACTATATTGTGATTAAAGTCATCCTTAATCCCAGCACTTGGGAGGCAGAGGCAGGCAGAGTTCCGAGTTCGAGGCCAGCCTGGTCTCCCTTCTCTGAAGGTCAAGGACATGCTAAGCACAAGTCTGTAACCATAACTGGGTTGGCTCCAGCCAGGGTAGAGTCTCAACGTGTAGCTTGCTACCCGCTTGGGGTCACATATCCGTTATCGAGCATATCAGCTATTTGCATTCCGATTCCTAACAGTAACAGAGTTAGTTGTGAAGTAGCAACATGGGGGTCACCACAACACGCAGAGTGCTGTTGGAAGCATCAGGAAGGTTGTGAACCAGGGTCTAGACTACAAGGTTCTACCATGGCTCCTGCATAGCTAGTCCGTACCCCAGGAGTTCAGGGACTTGGAGAAGCTGGACCTGACCGGCCACCTTGGGAGGTGTCTGGGAGTTGGTGCTGCAGGCTTTTTGGTTCTGACCTCTGACCGTTCCAGCCTTCCAACTACTCAAAGAGGTACTCCTGCATCATTGAACAGCTGCCAGAGAAGCTCAACAGGTGAGGCTGGCTTTCCTGGGGCTGGTTTCCAGTGAAGTGTTCCTTTTGGCTTGTTTTTAAGCCAGGGTGTTGACTTTTGTAGTCGTGCAGGCTGAGATGGAAGGGTGGCAAGTTCCAGGCCTGCCACCAAAGCCTATGACCAAATAAGCAGGGGCAAAGCCCTGTCTTGCAGGTGCAAAACCCTGTCACGCTTAAGAGTTCTGGATGGCACCTTCCCCTCCATTTATAGATTAGGCGACTCACCTTGTGGGTTCTGCCCTAGGGCAGATGCAGGGACTTTTTCTAGAAGGATCCTCAACTGCTTCTCCCCCTCAGCATCCTCTCTGAGATGATGGCCCAGCTAGACAACCTCTCCAGCCTGGTAAGCCACCCTGGTGGCCGGCAGCTGAGGGGCATAGCTATGACAGGAGGGGGGGATGTGGGCAGCAGGGAGGCTGGCAGAGGAGCAGGAGGGCCTTGACGGCTGCAAGAAAAAGTTGGGCTTTGATTTCCCATTGAAAACAATATAGTAAGTAGTAGTTTAAAGTATTTTAAATAAAAGTATTTCATTTAAAAGTGGAGATGAGCAGCTGGAAGGTGCACACCTGTCATCCCAGGATGAGGAGCTGGAGGCAGAAGGACGGGCCTCTGCTATAGTGTGTTGGAGGCCAGGCTGGGCTCCAGGAGCCCCTGTTAGGATCAGAGAGGGGAAGCAGTTTGCTCAGGGTCTGCTGTGATTTTAGGTGTCCAAGGTCAATCAGTCCTTCGAAGAACACCAAAAGCAGGTGAGTTGGGGACACCTTCTCTCCCAGGGGGAGGGGTGGAGATAGGAATATATGGCGTCTTTGATTCCAGGGAGGTGGGAGGAAGTTGATTTATATAGAGACCTCGGGTCTAGCTGTGGCCCATTTTTCCTGCCCGGGTGCCACGTGCCCTGGAGCTTCTGGGTAAGGGCTGCACACAGGTCCTATGCATGAGGGGCAGGCGGGCCTTCGAAGGGGTGCCGGGCTCTTCTCTCCCACCCCCACCCCCTGCCCAAGCCAAGGCACGTGTGTCCTCATTCACCGCCTCTCCTGCCACCTGGCCCCTTCTCAAGGGCACTGGCAGGAAGGAGGCGCTGCTCGGGGCCAGATGTCACTGGCAGGGAGCCAGGGCCAGGACTGCAGCTCAGTGAGGGGCGGGCGGGGGGGGGGGGGCAGGAAGCCGCCAGAACACGACTGTTCATTCACAGTGCTCAGCCACCATTGGCCGGGCCAGCAGAGATGCCAGGGGAAGAGCTCTAGGACTGGGGACCGAAGCGGGGACGGTGGGTGGATGCCAAGAGCTCCTGGGCAGGCGCTTAGGGGGTCGGCTACAGCTCAGGGTGCCCAAGAAGACGCACTGAGTAGGTCAGCAGGGGCAGAAGGGATGCTCTTGTTTGGGAGAGGGACGGTGTCCAGGCAGGAGGAGGAACAGCCGCTCTGCAAAGGCTGCTGTGTGAGTGGCAGGCAGGGGCCAGGCAGAGCTTGGGGGGCTGCATGAAATTCTGGGCCTTGACTCCACCCGGTGAGCAGTAGGAGTTCTGGAAAGCTTAGTTGGAAGAGCGAGGGGACTAATCAGGCCTCAGGTGCAAGGGTGAAGAGCCAGGGGCTGGGCTCTAGTCATTGAGGGAATGATTGACAGGTGCGTCGGGTCAGCCACTACAAGCAGGTTGTGATATCCCAGGCAGCTCTCAGTAGCTTCTGTAAGGACTCAGGTATTATGCTGGCCTGCCCTGTCACCTGGCAGAATACACTCAGGCAGTGCCTGGTCAGCCCAGGGTTCCTTGGGTACTTAGAGAGACCTCCGCCCACTCAGGCTCTCTTTCGCTCTCTTTCCCTTGTTCCCTGGGGCAGACAGGACTTTTCCTGTCTCCCTCTTCTGTCCTATCTGACTCTTTATCTTATTTTCTTACCTCCCCGTTAATAAAACTTTAAATGTGAGTCACGTCTACCTACAGGTCTGTTTCCCCATCAGCCCACTGTCCGTTGCCCGCCTTGGGACCGGGAAACCTGCTACCTGCGGTCCCAGCCCATTCTTTATTCCTAACAGCTCGTGGCTTCCCCATCCCCCTTGCTTTTATCGCCCCCAGCCTCACTCCCTGAACTATCTCTGCAGCACAACCCCCCCTCCCCCGGGAACAGCAGGAGGGAGCTACGGGCTGGCTCTCCCTCCATTCACTCTGAGCGCCAGGCGCACTAAAGTGCCAGTAAATTGCACATTAATGAGCCAGGGGGGACCGGGAGGGCTCCCCTGGGCTTTGTGCAGCCCCGGGCGGGCGCTGCCCTGGAATCCATCATCTCCTCCCTGGGAGGCAGCCCCCTGGGTCCCGTCCTCCATCCCGGGGGCTCCCCCTCCAAGGGGAAGGGGGTGTCCACAAAAGCCCAAAGGGGAAGGAGCAAGGCTGCTAAAAAATAAAAATAATAAAAATTTTTAAAAGCCGCAACCCATGGCTGCTGTTTGAGTCTCTGGCCTCAGTTTCCCTATGTGCAAAATTACACTAAGACCTTTAATCTGTGCTGGGGACGAGCCCCTGACCCTTTGTACTCAAGGGCTCCAACCTGAGCCCTAATTGTGCTGTTAATTGCTTTTTTGAAGTTTTTTTTTTTGTTCGTTTGTTTTGAAACAGGATCTCAAACTCAGTATGTAGCTAAGGGTGATCCTTCTGCCTCACTTAGCCTTTTCGGGGAAGGGTGGGCAGGTGTGCACCGCTATGTTTGAGTGTGTGGAATGGGTTTATCCCCAGGTGCAGAGCTCCAAGAGCATTGCCACATTCCCCCTACCTACTCCATAGTCGGTGCCTGCCGTGAGGTTTGTCCCTAACTTGTTCTAGGTGGGCAGCCTCTTCCAGCTGATGGAAGTCTTCAGCAGGTCCCCGACCATCCTAGAGATGGTTAAGGTGAGTATCCCCCCTGGAGCTGGAGGGGAGTGGGGACAGGTACCCTGGGCAATGCCGTGTTACTCACTAGGCTCCACGGGCTCTATCCAGGCTGCCCAGGTCTCCACTGAGAAAGAAGCCAATCAGGGTCCAGAGGCTATGGCCTCCCAGGACCCCAAACTCAAAGCCACCTCAGGACCTCCGCCATCCACCAGACCCCGGTGCCTCTCAGAGACCGAGGAGCAGCAGGACCCACAGCCCGTGTGGGACAAGGATCCCCTGTTCTGGAGAGACACCCTGACCTGGGAACTCTTGAAACTTTTCACAGAGAACCAACAAGGACAGGAGGGTGAGGCTCTGCACTTACTGGTGGGGGGCGCCTTGGGTGTCCCGGCAAACCTCATTGCTCTCCATCTCTCTCCTCCTCGCCCGTAGTCACGGTGACAGAGAAGCTGCTGGCATTGGTGAGTATCCTTGGCTGAGAACCTCCTCCCATCCCCTCCCACCTGATCCCTGCACTCTGACCTCTCGGGGATCCCGGCCCCAGCTGGGTCTCCCTGCCGACACAGTTCTGTCTCCCAGGAAAGGAAAGACACTGGCCGGCGGAGTATCTCTGAATTACAGCTGGAGCCTGACCCCAGGCACAGGAACAGCCAGACTGACTTCTGTAGGAAGGCAGGGCCACGGAGGGGCGGGGGATTGGGCGGGGCCACAGAGGGGTCCCTGAATCCTGCTGTCTCCACATAGACACCATCCTGACCGAGACTCCCTCAGATCTGCTTGGTGGTTCCCACAGAGACATCAGCCAGCCCCAACATGAGACCCAGGTGAGGGGACACGGATGCGGGCAGTCACGGGAGATCACAAGCCAGCAGGGTTAGCTTCTTTCTTTGCACCACAGGAACCTCCTCGGTGTGCTGGTCCGTTCCTGAAGCCCCTGTAAGTAGGCAGAGAGCATGGCTACCTCACCCTGCCCCTCGGGCCCCCACCCCTGTCCTTACTGGTGGTTGAAGGGGAGGAGTTGATGAGAGGGCTCAGCAGGGTAAAGGGGCTTGCTGACAAGCCTGCACCTCACTTTGAACCATGGGACCCACATGACTGACTCCCACAAGTCATCCTGACCTCCCCCTGACACACACACACACACCAATTAAATAAGTAAAATGTAACCATTTTTAAAGGGTTGGAGAAAGAATTTCTCCCAGTCCCGCCTGTAGTTGAAGAAAGTCGACTTCAAAAAGGGAATACAATACTTAGGGCCATAAGAGGATGCATAGGAGCCAGACGTTGGTGGCACACGCCTTTAATCCCAGCACTCGGGAGGCAGAGGGATCTCTGAGTTCGAGGCCAGCCTGGTCTCCAGAGCGAGTGCCAGGA